TTTGGGGATGAGGGTTTGGGATGTAGACCTGATTATGGAGTTCGGGTTCAGGGATGAAGGTTTCGGCGACCATGGGCCTGATATGCTTTGGCGGCTTAGGGAATATTTGGTGTAGAGTTGGGGGTTGAGGGTTCGTCACTACATTAGGCGGAGCCACCTGGGATGATTCCAAACATCCACTACAAGCCCTAAACTCTGAACGCTATATAACCCAATACTCCCTATATTACCCTATATTCGCCTACATGAACCCCATTCAATCCTCAGCTGACCCAAGATGACCTTTGTTGGGCCAGTCGGTCATAGGGTTTCAAGGCTCTGTCCTTCTACCAAACTGACCCCGAAGGCTCAGAAGTCCTCATTACCTTGATCTTTACCAAAAGGTCCATGTAGCTGTCTTCTCATATAGTGCTTTTTTTTAACAACCCTTCACACCTTTTTCAGTGCAAGCTTACAGCTAGGGTGGTATCTATGCCATTACTCTCAGTACATCATGTTCAGGATGAATCACGATTACCGTCACCATGACTCATATAGTGCTTAGAGTTTAAGGTATAGTCGGTATAGGGTATACTTGGGCCTTAAACTAGCTACAGGGGAACCCCTTTAAGCCTTCAGTATATTTGATATACCTACATGGACCCTTTGGGTTTATCATGGGGGTCAACCCCCCTTCCTGCTCCAACTACCGAAAAAGCAAGGCACCAGAACTCAAACCCGAGATAGAAATTGTCAGCAGTTTGGCCCAACAACTCTACCCAGCACAGCGTGGCGACTCTAGCTACATAGTTGGACAGGTAAATTTCGCAACTAGAATTCATGGAAAATCCCAAATACAACGACCTGCAGCCAGCTTCAAGGGGTTATACATATGAGAAATTCTCAGAATTATGGACCGCTTTTGAACATAAATTCTCTTTGCTCCCATATTTTCTGGGTTTCCTCAAGGGGATCCTAATTTTGAGGGATCCCTCATTCTGGGTACCAAAATGGGATCCTAATTCTTGGAAAATCCCTCATACCTAGACCCCCCAAGTACCCTCTATAGACCCTAAGTATCCCCAAATGGAAGCTACATAGACCCTATCTTAGGGTATTTGGGGGGTCTAGATAGGTAAGACTCGGATCCCTAACCCTAAACCCTAAACCTTAACCGCAAGACTCTGGCCGTCCTCTGCGAGATGTCCCGCAGGGCCTTTAGCAGCCCCGTACGCAACCGCAGCTGCCTCCGCCCCCGACTGCGGAGGCCTAGCAGGGAGGGTTTAGGGTTTAGGGTTTAGTCCCCTTTTAAACCGGTTACCATTAAGGGGCTTACAGGAGGGGTTAGGTAGGGGTATATAGGAATACATATAGGATTTAGGGCTTTGGGTTTGCCAAAATCGGAGATACATTTTTGGGGATCCCATAAAAAGAAGGATTATAATATTTCGGGGATCTATGTTGGCATCCCCTATTTTCGGAAACTACCATTTGAAGGATTTAGGGTGCGGGGATAATAGAGGGGGCATATAGGGGTTGTAGGAGGTCGTGTAGGGGAGCTACATTATGGGGGATTGGTAAGGTTTCCACTTGACGCTGAGTAGGGATTGTCATGCGGGGAATGGACGAGAACATTGCAACTACGAAGGATTTAGCGTCTAGGGCTTGCAAGGTGTGGGGAGACTACTGGAGAATGGGGGAAGCAGGCTATTGGGCCTGTGTGAAAAGGTTTGCATAGGGTACTGTTGGTGAAGTTTCGGCGAAATTTTGAAGAACACAATTTTTCCTTAAAGTTTTTGCGAGGTACTTTGCGCACAACTCTTGGCGAGCGTGTGCGAGATCCCGTCAGAACTTTGCACGCTCGCTTCGCGGCCAAAACTTTGCGCCTCAAACTTCGCATCGCGAGTCTTGCGTGAGAAGCTGAACACACCAAATTAGCAGGTCTCCTGAGCGTGTGCTAAACTGTGGCAGCTCTTGACGTGTCATAACATAGGACCTGCTGTCCACATCCTGTTGTCGGGGAGATGGAGACAACAAAAACTAAGTTGCTGTCAAGGAAGTTATAGTGAGCGACTGCAATGAGGAAACCCCATTGCTTACTATAGACCGATGTTCTGGTTACATAAGATCTAAACCCTGAAACATAAACCCTATAAGCCCTAAATCATATGTGCGTATATAAAAATCTGCCCATATTCTGGTAAGTGAAGTGAATTTCCTTTACAGCAACGCAGAAAATCGGGTGCCCGGCTGGACATTTGTTTTCGCTTTCAATATGAGGCCCCTCGGTTTCGGGGGTTGAGGGCAGCTTTGTTCTCCATTTGCAGAAGAAAGCCGGAGGTAAGGGCACAGGCAGTGCAAAGCCCATGCATCCCTTTTCGACTTTTGTAGGTGCTCTACTCCCGACTCACAAAGATCAGCAAGCCTAGGGATTCAGGCCCATTCTCTTGAATTTGTTGGAGGCCCCGTCGGGTATATGCAAGTATGAAAGTGGACCAATGATCTGAGGGTTCGGGCTTGTCTAACATGAACCCAAGACATGGCTGAGTTGTGAAACAGGGTGTCCCTCACTGCACCCTGATCCCTTAATTTGAAACCTAATCACAGAGCCTCATCCACTATCAACGCCCTAATGTATCCAAACGTTGCTAACCTCCTCTTCCAACGCAAGCCATCTCTCAACCCCCGAATGTAACATATGCCCCGCCCAACATGTACATCTACATATACATATAATATCAGCATTTTTTTTTGCTTGGGGTGGCGGTGTTTAATCAGCAGTGGAAAATTCTACGTAGCTCCGGTATAATGCCACTTTCCACGGCATTCCCTAGTTTTCCATTTGATGCGGCATTAACCCAAAAGCATAGCCCTTTTGCAGGCTCCATGTTCGTTGGCGGGATGGTATCCTAGAAGCCCAGTTACCTACATAGCGCGCTCCTGACCCTAAGACGTTGATTTTAATTACCTATAGCCCCTAATCCCTAATCCCAAACCCCTAATCCCTAAACCCTGAATCCGTACACCCTAATTCCTATGTATCGCCTGCCCAAGAATCTCCTATATGAGCACTTGGCGGTTGGGTACCCTAAACCCTAAACCCTGAACCCTTTACCCTAAATCCCGCCCCGGGCCTTCCAGGAAAACCTCCAAGGGGCGGCCGCTACGGAAAACCTTGCCCACCTGCGTGGCGAAGTAGGGTTGGAGTTTAGGGTTTAAGGTTTAGGGCTTTAGAAATTAGATTTCTAGGGATTTAGGGTAGGGTTTAGGGGTTTAGGCATTTTAGGAGTTCGTGCTTTGGAGATTTAGGGTCTAAGTCTAGGGTGTGAAATCCATCCCCAGTAGACATAAGTACAAAAAGGCCCCCATCTGTACAAGTCACGACAGCGACGCAAATTGCAGACACCGGAAGCCACACGGTTTAGGATCTAGGGTTCAGGTTTAGGGTTCAGGTAATGATCTTGAAAACCCACTCTTGATGCTCAGGCAAATCTAGCTACATACGCTAACTTAAAACATTGTAGTCTGCCCAAATGGATACTCCATGTAGACACCTACCAAAAACGGAACACAACATCTACCTCAACCCTTAACCCTAAACCCAAAACCCAAAACCCCAAAAATCTACCCCACGGGCGGTTTTTTATCGGGCCCTGAATCCGAACACCCTGCTGGCCAACAGCCTCGATCTGGTTCCTCCACCTCACGACATCTGTCTCGCCTATTCCGAACCCTGAGCCCTGAACCCTAAGGACCTCACAAAGGTTTTGGGGCTTAGGGTTTAGGGTTTTAGGGTTTACGTTTTAGGGTTTACCTGGAGCCCAGAAGTAAGTAAAATAATAGACCAGAAGGCCATTATTCTACATACTTTCGGGGTTCAGGTAGGGCTTATTTAGGGTCATATCGAACATAAAAGCCTAGACGGGGTGGCTATTATCATGCTCGCTTAGCATACTCGTCTCTGGGCTCTTTTCCTTGAAGCCCGAATGGTGTAGGATTTAGGGCTGTTGAGAGGGTCCCAATTTAGGGTTTCGTGTTTTAGGGTTTAGGGTTTAGGGTGGGCACTTGGGATTTTGGTACTAGTGATCTCAGTGCAGAGCTTGAGAAACAACATGATTGTTTTAGTACTTCGACCCTTTAGGGGGGGGGGGGGGCATCACAAGCTTCAAAAACTCCTGTGACAGCCCTAGACCCTGAATCCTAAACCCTAAACCCTACATAACCGATTATAGTACTTTCCATTTTCTTTTCCATTATCCTCATATAATCCCCATATAATCCCAATGTAATCCTAAACCCTAATCCCTAAACCCTTAGATTACCCCAATGGGGGACCTGCCCGAAGTGGTTCGGCCTGCCTTGGCGCGCAGCGCAGGATCTGGCTGTACGGAACCTCCGCCGCGACGCACCTGGGACTTGTAAAGTGCAGGAAGAACTCACATGAGCTATAGTCTTAACTCCCAGTATTCCCCGGGCCTTCATAGCCCCTATATTTTTTCTCTACATATTCCCCTCTAGACTCTACAACCCTCCTTCAGGAGTTTAGACTACAGCTCACATGCGCATAGACAAGCTGTAGGAAACAGTAGAAGCAGGCCCTAAAGATGGCCCGGCAACCCCAAGCAAGAAACACAATGGTAGGCACCCGGCGATTTAGGGTTTAGGAGGGGTAAAAACCATGATCTGCTAGGTAAATCTATTCTGAAGCACGAGCGACATAATATACATAGGAAGCGATACGCGACATTTTGTTGATATGTTGAATTTTCGCTACCTAGGTGATCTGCAGATGCAAGCCCTGAACGCAATATACCCTAGTCCTAGTTGCAGTTAGACCCACAGAAAACAAATCCCGCGATTTCTGAAAACTCCGTCATTACCCAGAATTCTATATACCCCTACAGCCCCTAAATCCCATATATATATATATACCCTACAGCCCCTATGTTCCCTACATACCCCTACAGCCACCATGTCCCCTATGGACCCTTTTAAGGGGCGCCTTCAAAGAGCCAAGGCACAAAGAAGGCGCCCAGGCCTGATAGAGCCCAGCCTAGGAAGGGCAGCCCAGAAAACTCTGCATCCGCCGCCACCTGCACTTTTCGGTGTCGGGTTTAGGGGTGTAAGGGTTTAGGGTTAAGGTTAAGGCTGTTTAGGTTTATCGCTTAGGCTTTTCCTAAGGGAACCCTTTAAAGGGACCGTATCCCGTGAGGGCCTTCGTAGCCCCAACCCCCAAATTAGGACCCTGTGGGGATTTTAGGTCCCTGTAGATATTTCTAGAAAGGTAACTTTGCCAAACTCCCTTCATGATCTTTCCAGGTATGTGCATCACGAAACAAAAGTGTTATCTAGGCATTATGAGATGATCCTAAACACTAAACCCTACACCCTCGAAGGGTACTACCTGGTCATGACTTGGGTGCTTCTCTATCTGCAATTTTTCTATTTTGAGAAAACCCTGGGGATTGACTAGGTTGAGGTTTCAGTGGGTTATCTTCATAAGGCCATGTAGGGGATATCTACGGGTGGTAGGTGACAGGGTTTTGAGCTCAAATAGGCGTTAGGTCACACATATATTCATGTTTTATAACCCCTAGAAGGAATGACGGTCAGGCTTCTGTCAGGGCATAACACGCATGATGTGTATGTAAATGTATATATTGTATAATAGGCGTGATGCTTATGTATAGGGATTGTACGAACATCGCTTACACATGCATGGGAAGCGCGCAAGGGTTGCAAAGAAAAACCGTCGCGAGAATGGCTGATGGAGAGATCCTTGCGACCTTCATGGTACTCCCCCGAAATAGGGTAATCCCTAGAAAGCCCGTATAAAGGAACCCCTAAATGGGGGAAACTACTACAGGGGCCTCATTAAATAATTACCAATATCATGTTGAAGTCCATTTGAGATACCATAGACCATAACCATGTAAGGAATATGGAACCATAATACTGGTAATTATTTAGGCCCCTACATTACCTCATGGAATTAGGGCGCGTGTCAACCTCCGGCCGGTTGGCACGTCGCCAGTTCCGGCCTGGCCGGGCCTCCGCAGGCCCGTGGCCACTGGGCGGTTTCACCCTGATATGAGCTAGAGTCTAACTCCTTAAAGGGGGTTATGTAGGGGATTATATAGGGAGTATTATGAGGGGATACTCGGAGTTTAGACAATGGCTCATTTTCAGTCTTCTCCTGCTCGGCATCCTCTGCTGCCTCTGTGCAGCCGGGGCGGTGTAGGGCAACGCTTGGCCGCCAGCGCTTGTCCAATGCCCTGTAAAGGCTGCCAGGGCTCTGAAACTTGCTTATGGCATGCAGGCTTCTGGGGTAAAGGTGTATTACCCCACCCCCCCATAACGTAGAATCGAATGGAAAAGAGAATGGAGAATGAAATGGAAACTGGGATTATCAGGTAGTTTGTTGGGATTAGGGCAAGCTTCTGGGGTTCAGCGTTTGAGAGAACCTCCCATTGCAAAAGCAACCTTGACTGCAGAATATGGAGATTTTCCAAAACAAGGATCTCAAAGCACTGATCATCCAATCTTGGAGTTGCGGTTACGGGACGAGTCAGTCGGAGAGCTTCCAAGGATGTAACTCATGTAAAGCTTATGCCGAGCAATGCCAGAAGTACTAACAACTGAGGCACACTGGGAATTTGAACACCTTCTGATGGGAAATTTAATTGAAGTTTGGAAATATGGGCGTCTTCCTTATACATCCACAGTTACCATGATCCTTACTCTACTGCAAGGATTTCAAAATACGGACCCTTAAGTTCTGAAACCCCCCGTGAGACTATGAAGTGATTTGATCCCTGGGTTGTAAGAAAAAGTCTGTATGGATGTTTGCAGCTATGCATTCATCACCGGCCAATTGCCCTATGCAAATTTTAGCACAATCATACGAGCTTTCAGGCCTTATAGAAAGTCAAGAACCACCTTCAGAAGGTCCGTGTACTGTTCGAACTGCTGTCTTAACCCCAGACACTAAACACGACTTGCAACCCCAACTGCCGACAGCATACTGCAGCAAGCCCGTGCGTAGCCCGCGTTATAGGAACACTCTGGACCCTAAATTTACCCCCTGGCTAGCAGGGAATGACGCAATGGATCCTTTTAGTAGTCCCCTTTTAGTAGTCCATGTGTACGCCCCGCAAAGGTATTAAATCTTTTACAACCCTAGTTTCTAGCGGTTTCCATATCCTTTTCCATTCCTGCAGTCCCTGGACCGTAGACCCTAAAACCTGATTCCAAAACCCTAAACCCTATATCCCAAACCTTACACCCTAAACCCTAAACCCTTAACAGCCAAGTCAACCCATCCTGCCTGCGGAAGCTGCAGTGTTGGCAGAAGGGGCTGCATCTGAAAACCTCGGCAAAGACTTGAAAAAAGGGTAGGGGTTTAGGGTTTTGGGGTTTTAGGGTTTTAGCGTTTCGGGATTTAGGGTTTAAGGTTTTGGGGTTTTGGGGTTTTCAGGGTTTTGGGATTTAGGGTTACATTTGAGCTACGGTCAAGAACCCACAAATCTAGGGGTTTAGGTCTTACGACTGGGCCAGCTGCAGGTAAGTCCAATGATCACGAAGTCGAGGACAGACCGGTGCTGCGGGCAAAGCACCTAGTTTCAGGCTTCGGTCCCCGGTTTAGGGTTCCCTAAGCCCTAAACCCTAAAGGTTTAGGGTTTAAGGGTTCATGCAGGATTCAGGGCTTGTGGAGCTTTTGGCTTGTGAAGGCATGGCTTAGATTAGAGGATGTCGAATGCTGGGTGAGCTTTGAAAGTCTAAATTCACAGCACCCGCAGCATGACCCTACCAAAAAAAGCTGCGAAAGACATGGACAACTGGCAATCTCTTCCCAGGAGTTCTACTTATCTACTTACTCTTATGTGAGCAGAAGTTTGACAGACGCCCTGTCAGAGCCACCCTCCTGTAAATTCTAAGCTCCAAACCCTAAACCTTGAGAGCCCTTTCAGTAGATAGAATATGGAATTCCTCAAATCATACTAAGATCCCCATATACCCAATATTGTACCTACATAAGGGGACTACAAGCTCTAGACCTGAACCCACATTTGGCCAAGTCCGACCAGCGGGGCATCGAGCTTCGTGATCGACTGTAAAGAGCCGCCATCCAGGGTCCTTGGTGGGGCTTAGGGGGTTAGGGTTATCTATGGAGAACTTGGAACCCTAGTAAAAATTATAATTTTTGCTGTTCCTTAGGATTAATGATAAGCAAAAAGTAAAAATTACTTCCAAGTACCCCTAAGTTATGACGGAGAGGCTTTCAAAGGGATCATATGAACTTCAGTCAGCAATTCCTACATAATTTCATGGGACTGGAGCTGGCTTCCTCATGAAGGACTAAAAAACATACTAAACAAGAGCGACCCCTATGTCCACTGTTAAAGATCCCTACTGAGTGAGGTTAATCATATGCCACTAGATTATATGGGATTAAGTGACGAGGGTCAGGACTTTATGAGTTTGCTTCTAAATGAGAATCATAGGGTATACACCCTAAACCATAAACCCAGAAGTCATATGGGGGAGATGGAGGGTCCATTAGGGTATAGAATTAAGTTACCACACTGTGGACGTTTAGTTAAACAGGGTTCGTAAGTATGGTAACTTCATTCAAGCTCTTCAACCCGCTTTCTAAACAATCCTTATATACACCCCAATGTTTTATGGCCCTTGTTATGGGTACCCGGTACCCCCCAAGAAGGTACTGCTAATCTCGCCTTAAAAACTATATCCTGTACGTACGTACTGTAATCTGTAATCCCCAGACCTATCATAGAAATATGGATTTCAATGATTTTTAGGTGTAAGACAAGAAGAAGAACTGAACATAATTCTAAGGACGTAGGAGTAAATGTGGGCTTCAGACTTTATGGGGCCTAAACATTGAATTCTATCGGCGTTTTGCACTGCTTCAAAAGGTCGATAGCCGAATTGATGCCAGATAAGAACCCTCATAACCCCACTCTTGTAGCCCTTGACCAGAAGCGGGACGGCTTTAGGATGTGGAGTTTGCAGATTACCGTTTTAGGCATAGCATCAAATGCTATGAGTAGGACTCTAGTTACATGACCACTAAATCATAAACCTCTAGTTATCCAAGCACGAAGTCACGAACAATGGATCTACGGGACAGGGAACCCACTATATGTGGCAACTGGAGCCCTTGGGAACCATATGAAATCCCAAGTGGCCGCGGAACCCTAACTTCAAAGACTTTAAGAGTGTACCTTTAATGTTTGTGACCCTAGGTTTTGGGTCCCAAATACCCTTCTTAAGGGCCATGTTCCATGGTTTAGGGACCCAAACCCAAGTGTACAAACCCTTAGGGCACAAAGGAAAACTCCCTGATAATTCCAACCTCGTTCCCTAGACACCAACTCTACCCGGAAGACCTACCCCCAACCCCTCTACCCGGAAGCCGTGAGGTTTTGGGCTTAGGGTTCAGGTGCTTAGGCGTGTAGGGTCTAGGGCTTAGGGGTTAGGGTTAACAGTAAACCCCAACCCATCGACCCTGAAGCACACACCCTGAACCCGAACCTCAACCCTAATCTCAAATCTCTGCAATTTTGCCTGTTTTGGATAGCTTCAAACATGGTCAATACGTTTTTTCCTGAATCGCAGGGGGCTTAGGGTTTAGGAAGTGGGTCTTAATATGCGAGGATAATGACCCATATCTCTCCAAACGAACGGGCCTAAACCCCAAACCCTAACCCTAAACCCTAAGCCCTAAACCCTGAACCCTAAGCCGAGCGTCACTGTGAGGTTCATCCAGCTGAGCCCCTGTCGCACCACAAAGGCTGTCACCGCGTAGAACGGTCCGGCCTGGCTTTTCCCGGTATAAGACATATATATATATATAGTGCATATGTATATATATATATATAGAGGGTTTAGGATTGAGGACTTAGGGCTTAGGATTCAAGATCCAGGTTTAAAGGTCTTGGGATGTTGTCCCAGTAAAGGAGGATCAAATGGTAAGACAATGGTAGCTGAAATGGGGACGGGGATTGCATATAGCCTTTCATAGGCTTTGGGCTGGGTAGGGTATATTAGTTGCAAGACACGAGTGCTTTGTAGGAAAAACGGCGGTTGTATGGGATCTGGTTCTAGTTTGTTTTTTTGATAGTGGCTTTGCGGATAGCAAAGGTTCCTTGGTTGAAGGCTCAAGGGCTACAGGCTTTGGGTTCAGGGTTGTGGGTTGAAGGATTAGGGTTTAGGGCTGGAGGCCTGGAGTTCAGGGTTTAGGGCTTAGATTGCAGGGTGTCGTGTTTCTTGGATACTCAACTTCTGATTTTCTTGTGCAGCCACTCTAGTCTAGTGTTTTAGCTTGCACGTTTGGTTTAGCTATCTCTGCTTCTATACCAAGATATCATTGCAAGTCACAACTCTGATTCCTTGCTGCGTGGTTATCGTCGTGCCTCCTCAAAGCGCACACACATAGACAGCAATTTTCCTAACGCACCCTATTTGTTTATATATACATGTACACTCCTCCATCGGCCCTGAACAGCAAAGCCCTAAACCCACAAACACTTTACCCTAAACCCTGCTGCGTAGGTGCACCTGGAGCAACAGGGGCAGGTGAGTGAGTCAATAGGCTGGGGGAAAGGGGCTTAGGGTTGGCGGCAAGTTAGGGTTTAGGGCTGGTCCTGTAGACGTAGGCAAGTGAAACGGTCGAGCGGTCAATTTTGGCTTAATGTCTTCCCCAGTACATGCTATACTACTTTGCCATGAAATTTTGGCAATCTTGCTGGCCCGCATTTCCGGGACTTCTTCCGCGCATATTTCTGGTCACTATATGCCTCAAACTATTAACCGTCTCAGATGTCAGTGCTCTAGTATAAGGTCCTAAACGATTGCCCACACCATAGGAGCTATAGTCTACACTCCTAGAACCCCCCTTACTAAAACCCTATAATAGTCCCTAATATAATCCCCTATTAACCACCTTTTATGGAGCTTAGACTTTAGCTCATGTTGAGGTCTATTTGAAGTACCCCAGATCATATCTGCACAAGGCATCTAGAACCATAATAGCAGTAGCGCCTTGGGATGTGTGAAAGTCATGAGAGCGTCGGCAAAAGCAGAAGCTGGCGAAAAGATCTGGATTTCGGCAAACTCCCTGGCATAGTTGCCTAGGCTCAGGATTGAACAATAGGGTTCAGGGGGAAGTGACCCTGGTGAGAAGTTTGGGTATCAGCGGGTTCAGAACGAGGACAGGTAGGGAATTATGATGATGCAGCTGGAGGGCGCCGTCTATACCTGGTGGTTTTGACAGTTGGGGGCCGGGGTCAGCTTAGACTTCCGGTTGCACCTGGGAGTACGGGCGCGGTTTTTTTAAGGGTCTAGGGGGTTAAGGGCAGTCCAGAATCTAATGTTCCTGATTTCTGGTCAAGGAGCCCCTAGGCCCGTAAACAACCCTGCAAACTTAAAAACAAAAAACAATTAACCTCACCGAAGAACTCAAAATCACTCGAAATCCTAAGTTAACCCTAAACCTCTTGCAAGCCCAATGGCGGCCGGGAGCGAGAAGCTGCCCAGTGCTCGGGCGGGCAAAGGACCAGCCAGCCCGGCAGCAGATCAGGAAATACCTGGGGCGTAGAGTCCCCTTTAGGGCTTATATTGGGGCTATATTGGGATAATGGAAAAGAAAATGGAAACTACTATAATGGGTTTAGGGTTTAGGGTTAATAGTCCACCCTCAAGTAGATAGAATATGGGGTATGTGGGGATCTTGTTATGATGCACCCAAGGCCATATACTATAGAACATACTAGACATAAGGTTAAGCACTCTGGCTTAGAGGTAGGGTCTAGGTAGGCTTGATGGCTAGTATTCATCAGTTGAGGATTTGGGGGTTCAAAGTTTAAAGGTTTCGGGTTAGGGTTAAGGGTTTAGGGTGGTTTAGGGTTCTGATTTGCGCGCAGGAAACAATGCCCACTCCCGCTAAAAGGCGGTCCTCTTATCATGTTGTCCCTAACAACGAGCCCTGAATCCTCAAATCCTGAGTCACAATCCAACAATGATAATCCTATCGAGGCGGAGGGAGGAATTCTTACACCATCGTGTAGGCCTGATAACCTATTACTGGCAACATGTTGGGGATCTGAAATGATGGTAGGTTTCCTCCATCCACCGCAGTGTTACATCCCTCTCGTCGAAATTCCGTACGTACTTGCCTGAATACCAAAAAAGCAGAAGGAGCTACTGCTCACATTTCCAACCTAATTACACTAATTAATGGACATGTGCCATTGTTGAGAATACATCAGGGAAAATACTAAGCTACCAAGGGCAGAATATGTCCACCTTAAATGGTCCCTTGGTAACCTGTGCTCTGACATTCGCCCAAATGGTTTTGAAGCCCATCTTCCGCAAACCCAACACGCTTACATCTATAGTATCATTATCTATGAGGGAGAACATGTATTATTGGCGGGGAGGGCGCGGGGGGTGTGCAGGGTATCCGGGGCAGGGGGGTACTCTTCTCTAGCCCTTAAACTTCAAATCGCTAACCCTCCATCCCAAAACATTCCCGAACATCCCTGAACCTCCCTAAACATCCCTGACCTACAACTCCTAATCCTCCCTAAGCCCTAAACCCAGACTTCCCTAAACACTGACCAGTTAAGGGTTAAGGGTTAAAGGGTTCAGGGTTGAGGGTTAAGGGTTCAGGGAAAGCGGCCAAGGTGCTCGTGGAAGTCCCACTGCTCTGGCAGGCGCAGGGTAGACTGGAAATGCCAGGGCACACAAGGGCTGGAGAAGTTGTGGTACCTTGGTGCTGGGGTTTAGGGTCTAGGGCACACATGGGCCCAAGAAGTTGTGGTACCTTGGTGCTAGGCGAGATTGCATAGACAGAATTTTAGGACACTTTGAAAGAAAGATCCATTTTTCCTGGTCCAGGGAATTTTCACCCTAGGGTTCCTGTTCTCTCGTAAGGCAGGCATGTACCAAACTGTTGGAATGTTGCAGAAATGCAAGCAAGCAAGCAAGCAAGCAAGCAAGCAAGCAAGCAAGCAAGCAAGCAAGGGTCTGAGGTCCTTTGGTGTATGCGGCAGGCAGCAGGAATAATGAACAAGTTCATTTGAGTCTAGGCCAAATGCGGGTAGACCTTACACCCTTCATCGTTCCTGACTGGGATAGTAGCGCAAACATAACAGCTCACGTTTTTCATGGGGTTTTGGTATAACAAACTCATATCCGAAGATGGTCCGGCTTAGGGTAAGGGCCAAGAAGCTGCATTGGAAGCGTGCAGCAGGACTCCAGAACCTTCACGGTCGTCGAAAACTGCTTGCTCAACCTCAAACCTGGGTGTGGACGGGAGCAAGGGCCGTTGGGTGTTAGGGCTTAGGGGTTTGTGGGTACGGGGTGAGGGATTTCGGGCTTAACGCTGAACCCTGAGAAGCTCTAAACTCTGAACACCTCTTGGGTTGAAGAAATAAGACGGCAGATAAGCTCTTGATTTGTAGTCTCAGGCTTGGTTCGCGGTTTACTGCAATTCTCGTCCGTGTGTGGACACCAAGAACCCCCAACAAATGCGTAGGGCTGAAGCTTTACTCCTTAAACCAGCCCTAAGCCCCAAACCCCAAATGAGGTCTGCTGGGGCTTCCGGAGTCTAGAAAGACTTCTCCCAGAGAATGGCCCAGAAGCCCAGCAAGCCGAAAATCCACTCCAAACAAATTCGGACGATGCCCAAAAGCTTCCTGAGCGCAGCACGATTAAGGGTTTCGGGTTAAGGGTTAAGGGTGTGGGGTTTAGGTTATTTTCATCGCCTCTTTCACCCACAGCCAAAGGGTTTAGGGTTTAGAGTTTGGAGGTAAGGATTTAGGGCATACGTCAGCGTCAACTTTAGGGCTTAGGGCTTGGGATGTCAACCCCCCTACATGGGGAGCCCACTACCCATTAAGGAAAACATATCCTAAATAAATCCAAGGGATCCTGTACCACTTAAGTATGTTCCTTCATTAAGAGTGTAGTGGGCCCTCTGGGCACTAACAGCCCACCAACAGAGAGTTGAAAGGCATCTCACTCCCCTGAATAGAAAACGTTTCCATATGTTGGGTCAAGGGTTTAGGGTGAATACGCTTCAATGCTTTGAGACCAGGCTTGTTCTGAACTCATGCTGTCTACGACTCTGGGGTACTGCCTGGAGCTCACCGACTCTTTCTGGCATTATAGCGGTCCTTCTACCTGGCCGCTGTAGTATTTTCAGAACCTCTAATTAACACGATCGGGATAACACTCCGACAAATACAGGGGTACATATATAGATATATATATATATATACACACATTATATGTCTATACATATATGTATATATATATATCTGTACATATAAATATATACATATATATATACATATGCACCACCATTCAAGGTGAGGCCGGGTCAGGTTGTCATATTTGCCCGGTGCTACAAACTCAGGGCACCGCAAAGGAAAAACACGCTCCAACGAAGCCCTGTTTCATGGGCAGGACGTTGATGAGCGCATGCATGATGTGAAAAACTGTGGCGTTGTCCTGGGATGCTGGCCAGCTGATGTAAAAAAGAATGGCTTGGGGGCCTGTCATACCAGCAAGGGTAGAACGTTTGATATGAGCACGTCTATGTTGGTCCTACATTCCCGCCTACAAGGCAGCCTAATTACACGGAAAAAAAGAAAAAAAACTGTTCCTGGGGCAAACCCTGCTGCCCGAAACCCTTAACCTTTGAAAGCCACCAAACCCTAAACCTTCACCCCCTTACCCTTATCCCGCCTAATCCCTTTACATCGCACACCCCAAACGCTCCCTGCATCTTGCTATATACCCCCACACATCCCTACATGACCTAGATAGCCCCTATATATTCCTATATCGCCCTTCCAAGCCAAAACCCTGAACCTGAAACCCTAGACCCTGCACCCTAAAACCCAAACCCTGAAACCTAAACCCTAAACCCTAATCCCTTAACCCTAATCCCTAAACCCCAACCCCTAAACCTTAAACCCTAAACCCTGAACCCTAAAAGGTCCCAGCATCGCACCAGCGCAGGAGCTTTGCCATTAGGCCCAGCTCTGGGAGGGACATGCTCCTTCATGGGGTTTAGGGTTTAGGATCTAGGGTTTAGGGTTTAGGGTCTGGAATTTAGGGTTAGGGTTTAGGATTAAGGGTTTAGGGTCTGGGATTTAGGGTTAGGGTTTATAGGGTTTGTGGGTGTAGGCTGAGGGTTTAGGCTTCAGGGTGTAGGTCTAGGGTTTGGGGTTCCCGGTTTAAGGCTTCAGGGATCTTATACGATTATTTTGGTAGGTACGGGGTTCTTCGGTTCTTCAGGGATACACAAGGATACAGGGGTATCATAGGGCCATAGGGCTATGACGGGTCATATAGGGACATATAAAGCGGAAAAAGGGATCTCGTAGGGTAAACGGTTGCGAAGGGACATGTAGGCGTACATAGAGTTGCATAGGGCTCAATAAGGACATGATGGGTATGTTTGCTTACATAGGGTCTTATGCGGTGATATAGGCATATACAGGATTAGTTCTCGGGAGTGAAAGACGATTTTACAAGGGTGTATATGGTTACACAGGACTACATAGGGATGTAAAGAAGTTCTATTGGGTTACATGGGGTCTCATAGGGCTACATTATGGGGACATATCTTCTGACTCGCGTGGGCAAGCACATGGGATGCAAGCCAGAAAGCACAAATACTACGAATACCTTTTGCCTTCGCTACGCGAACCAACGGTTTTCTGCATATGTGCATGCCCCTGCACAAACATAGAGACATAGAGACGCGTATACTTTAGGAGGAGCCCCCACCCCGTAATAGTGGTATGATAAGGAGATAATAGGACTCTAATATTGTCCTTCTTATCCCTTATAGTCACTATGACAGGGTAGGGGATCCACCTAACGTATACATGTGACTGTGTCAAGCGCACCTGTTCGGGCAGCACAACATGGATACTCACACAATACAAGTCCATAAAATCCAGACCCTTTTCTGCATACCCACGCATACCGAGCAACAAGCCTTAAGAGAAGCTACGTCTTCAGCAAAGTTTCCCAAAATTAGGGGTACCTTTAGAGGTGGCATAGGAGTTACATAGGGGTTATAACCCAAATTTGAGCCCCTAAGTCCCCCGATATGACCATTGTCGAAACTCCTAGTATTCCCCCTTATAACCCCTAGGGAGGTTTATGGAGCTTAGACTATGGCTCATATGGGTGGTTGTCAAAGTTATGGTCCCTCTTTGGATCCCTATTATAATACGGCACCTAATATTTTGGGTACCCAAAAGTGGACCATAATTTTGACAACCACTCATATGGATAAACCCTAAACCCCTAAACCCTAAACCCTAAACCCCTAAACACTAAACCCCAATATGGCTTGGTGATAAAGTCGCCAAGGCACCCCCTCAGAGCGAGCAGCTGGTAGTAGTGCGCCGTGAAAAACTTGAAGGAAGGCCTCAGTCTTGTGGCTTTAGGGTTTATAGGGTTAAGGGTTTAGATTTTAGGGTTTAGGATTTAGTGTTCAGGGTTAAGGGTTTAGGATTAAGGGTTTAGATTTTAGGGTTTAGGGTTTAAGGTGAGCTTAACAGACTTAAGGCCTTCTGGGCTGGTGTTAAGGAACTTAATTGCAGTGACTATATTGTGGAAACCATAGTATTTACTATTAAAACCAACTATTGTAACTGAATTTCGGTTCCTCAACAGCAACCCTAAAGCCTAAACCCCTGTTTCCACTTCATCTTCCATGTTCTTATCCATTTGATTCTGCTTTATTGGGGGTCATATCCCTTACCCCTAAACCCTATATACCCCTATATAAAAACCAGAATCATAACTATATGACCCTCATTTTGAAGGCACCCCTAAACCCTATAAATTTTACGTTCCTTCACAGCAGAACCCTAAAGCCTAAACCCTAAAGCCTATACCCCTATATCGCCTCTCTACAAAACCCTTAGCCCTATAAACGCTACACCGTATGCAGCCCAGACCCTGGGCTTCAGGCCCAGAACTTCGCTTTAGGGTTTAGGGTTTGGGTTTAGGGCTTTGGGTTTAAGGTTTAGGGTGTAGGGTTTAGAGTTTAGGGTTTACAGTCCTCCTTAAGTAGATAGAACATGGCTTTGCAATTGGGTATGTTAGGATAAGATCCCCGTATACCCCCATATTCCCTCTACTTGAGGGGGACTCTAGGGTTTAAGTTTTAGGGTTTGGGCCCTATAGGGTCTATAAAGCCTAAGCCGGCAAGCCAGAATATGCAGGTGAACCCTAAACCCTAAACCTTTGTGTGCCCTCTACAACCCTTGAGGGCCCACCAAACCCTAAAGCTTGCAGGCCTTGACTTTGCCTTTCATGCTTTCTTTTTTGGGTTTAGGGTTTAGGGTTTATTCTTTACCCTAAACCTCAAGCCCCAAATCCTAAAATCCCAAACCCTAAACCTCAAAGCCCTAAATCCTAAATTCCAAACCCTAAATCCTAAATTCCAAACCCTGAATCCCAATTCCTAAACCTCAATCCCTATATTATAATATCCAGAAAACCTAAAGTCCAAAGAGCATCTGCTTTGCCTCTGAAGAGTCCAAGCAGGCCTGGCAGTACCGAAAGCACATTCTATCTACCTTCAAGGCCTCCAACAATCAGGGTTTATGGGTTTAGGTTTGGGTTCAGGGTTT